GAATCAGTGCGCGTACTGTAAGGAAGAAGGGCATTGGAGGAACGAGTGTCCGCAAAGAGAGCAGTATGAGAGAGACTTACCCAGGGCAGGTTACGGAAACTTTAGAGGCAGAGCGAGAGGTAGAGGAGGCCCCGGAGGGAGTAATGGTAATAGAGGGAGTAATGGGAACAGAGGAAGTGTAAGGGAAGATAGGTACTATCCAGCAGCGCAAAGGTCCCGCGATAGAGAAGGTAGGGACTTTGTGGGATTGGCTGACACGGTCATGGAGGACTATTGATACCGACCGGCTCCATCCCCCTTGGTCGAGCGGAGCCTATGGTCGATGTATCAATAGGGGGAAAAAGGAGTGCGTTTATGATCGACACTGGTGCTGAACATTCGGTGGTGACTAATCAAGTTGCTCCTCCATCTGGAAGAACTATTACTGTAATAGGAGCAACTGGAAGAAGTGCTGAAAAACCGGTTCTTAAAAGTCGACTCTGTACATTGGGAGGCCACGTAGTAAAACATCAATTCCTTTATATGCCTGAGTGTCCAGTCCAATTGCTGGGACGTGATATGCTATCCAAATTACAAGCGCAGATTACGTTCCTACCAAATGGAACAACATCCTTAAAGTTTAATGGACCCTCAGGTATTATGACATTGTCCGTACCAAAGGAAGAAGAGTGGCGACTTTATACAGTGTTGACTAGCCAAAACCCGAGGAGTGATGAATCCTTATTTAACATACCAGGAGTTTGGGCAGAGAACAACCCACCAGGACTGGCCCGCAATATTCCACCTATTAAAATCGAACTAAAACTTGGGGTTTATCCAGTAAGCCTGAGACAATATCATATTCCGCAGAAGGCTAAGAAGAACATCCAATCTTATCTGGATAAGTTCATACGGTATGGTATCCTAAAATTCTGTACTTCCCCCTGGAACACCCCATTGCTGCCTGTTCAAAAGCCCGGTACAGATGAGTATCGACCTGTGCAGGACTTGAGAGCAGTCAATGATGCGGTTGTTAGTATACATCCAGTCGTGCCCAATCCATATAACCTGCTTGCTTTAATTCCGGGCGGGGCTACTTACTTTACAGTCTTAGATCTCAAAGATGCCTTCTTTTGCCTCCGAATTGCCGCAGAAAGCCAATGTATCTTCGCTTTCCAATGGGAAAATGCTGTAACGGGCTCGAAACGCCAAATGACCTGGACAAGATTGCCCCAGGGGTTTAAAAATTCACCTACCCTATTTGGTTCAGCTCTAAGTCAAGATTTACTAGATTTCGAGTCTATCCCAGGAGAGTGTGTATTATTACAATATGTAGATGACTTGTTGATAGCAGCAGTTACAAAGGAAGTATGTCAGCAAGCAACGCACGATCTACTACACATTCTCTGGAAGGCAGGATACAAGGTGTCAAGAAGGAAGGCTCAGTTGTGTTTGCCAACTGTCAAATATCTGGGATTCCATATCTCTGAAGGTCAAAGAATTATGGGGCCAGAGAGAAAAGAAGCTGTGTGCCAAATACCGATACCCAGGAATAGAAGACAAGTGCGAGAATTCTTGGGGGCAGCAGGCTTCTGTAGGATATGGATTCCCAGCTACGCGATACTGGCAAAACCTCTGTATGCAGCTATCAAAGGTACAGAGCACGACCCCTTCTTATGGACTCAAGAACAGCAAACGGCATTCGAAGATGTGAAGAGGGCTTTGATGAGTGCCCCAGCATTAGGTCTACCTGACCACACACGGCCATTCTACCTGTATGTACATGAGCAAAGAAGAATGGCTGTGGGAGTATTGACACAGTACTTGGGATCATGGCAAAGACCTGTTGCCTACATGTCTAAGCAACTGGATGCAGTGGCCAGCGGACTTCCACCTTGTCTAAGAGCTGTAGCTGCAGCCGCCCTGCTAGTAGCTGAAGCCGATAAACTCACTCTGGGTCAAGAACTTTATGTACGAGTTCCACATGCAGTACAGACGTTGTTGGATTACAAAGGAAATCATTGGTTTAGTAACAGCCGTATGACCAAGTATCAAGCAATGTTGTGTGAAAACCCAAGAGTGCATTTAGAGACTGTAAATACCTTAAATCCAGCTACCCTTTTGCCACAACCTACTGAAAGTCAACATGATTGTTTGGAAGTAATGGATGAAGTATTTTCAAGTAGACCAGATCTTCGTGATTTTCCCATCCAGAACCCTGATGTTCAATATTACACCGACGGCAGTAGTTATGTAAAAGAAGGGATCCGCTATGCAGGATATGCAGTAACAACGATAGACAAGGTGATAGAAGCTCGGCCACTGGCAAAAGGAACATCAGCACAAAAGGCAGAATTGATAGCACTGACACGAGCGTTACAATTGGCTGAAGGTTTAAGAGTGAACATCTACACGGACTCCAAGTATGCGTTTTTAACCACTCATGCCCACGGAGCTTTGTATAAAGAAAGAGGACTATTGAATTCAGAAGGCAAAGAAATCAAATACGCAGCTGAGATCCTACAACTATTGGAAGCAGTGTGGGAGCCGAAAGAAGTCGGTATTATACATTGTCGGGCGCATCTGAGAGGAGATGGTGATGTAACCAAAGGGAATCGGATGGCAGATAGTACAGCTAAGCGTGCTGCTGAATCAGGAAGACAGGAATATGTGGGGCATATAGCTGCTCTTATACCAACTCCACTGTCTCAATGGACTCCAATTTATACAGCTCAAGAAGAGGAGTGGTTAAGGACTGAACCTGGAAAGTATTTGGAGAACAAATGGTATCAGTTAGAAGATGGAAGAATAGTTATTCCAGCATCACTAGCGGTAGAAATTGTCCAAAACTATCATAACGGGACACATTCTGGGAGAGACAGTACAGAAGAATCTCTCAGAAAACATTTCTACATACCAAGATTGTCCAACTTGACTCAGGCCATTGTACGTAGATGTGTAACGTGTGCTAAAAATAATGCAAGACAAGGACCAGTAAAGCCACCAGGAGTCCAGTTTATGGGGGGACTTCCCATGTCCGATTTACAAATTGACTATACAGTGATGCCTAAATCGGGTGGACATCGCTACCTGCTGGTAGTGGTGTGCACCTATTCAGGCTGGGTAGAAGCATGTCCTACTCGTACAGAGAAAGCAGGAGAAGTCGTGAGATTCCTGCTACGAGAAATAATACCCGATATGGACTACCCTGCTCTATAGGATCGGACAATGGTCCAGCTTTTGTTCATCAGTGCCTACAACAATTGACTCATATGCTTGGTATAAAGTGGAGGCTTCATACGGCATATAGACCCCAGAGTTCTGCGATAAAAGTAGCCGAAGTGGCTCCGTGGATACATCACTCCAGGGTTAAACCAGCAGCAGCCGATTCCTGGCAAGTTACAGCAAATCCAGAGAATCCCTGCAAGATTCGGTTAAAACGCACGACTCAGTCGGAGTGACGAGGAACCTTGTAGATTACAAATTTTATTGTTTCAGAGACTTGGTAAGTGAGTGAGAAGGCCATAATAAAGCCTGTCCACTCACCAACGAGTGTATAAGTCAGGGAAAGTCTTGAGGGGACCCCTGTGAAGACGAGCAGAACTCCATTCCCTGCAGTCCTTACATCCTGGAAGCTGAGGTGCCTTCACACGGACGAAGACTGAGGATGACGACGAAAGATGTATTTTTAATAATGTTTATTTATGTGTATTTTTATATTCAGGAAGGTAGAGGTACCAACACTCCTAGCTGTGAGGTATGCATTAAGACTACAAGAACAGGTAACCATATATCCCAGACCCTAATTTGGCATTCGCAATATGAGTGTAAAGGAGATGTATCAAGATGTAGATACTTAAATATAGAATATAGTGTGTGTCATTTAGGAGTAGGAGAACCTAAGTGCTTCAGTCCTGAGTATCAACCCCGTACAATTTGGTTGACTCTCAGAAATGGAGATTCTCAGGGGACCCTAATTAATAAGACGGTATTAAATCCGTATATTCTTCAGGTGCTCTGCTATTTGATGCGTGTAAAGCAATATCAAGTGGTAGAAAGCCGTGGAATGTATGTGGGGATCTTAGATGGGAGAGGACGTATGGGTCTAACGATAAATATATTTGTCCCAGTAGTAAAAATAAATATGTAAGTCCAAGATGCCCAAATAGAGATTATAACTTCTGCCCATATTGGTCTTGTGTGGGGTGGGCGACTTGGGGACAGACAGCAGACAAGGACATGATTGTGACTAAGTTGCCTACTAATCCATATTGTAAGTCTATGGAATGCAATCCAATCCATATACTTATAAATAACCCTGACAAGTTCTTAGATAAATATGGTAATTTATTTGGGTTTCAAATATATGGGACGGGTTTAGACCCTGGGACAATATTGTTTATAGGGATAGAGACTGATACGGTAACCTCCCAAACTCATCAAGTATACCATTCCTTTTATGAAGAGATGAGCATAGATAATAAGATCCCCCATAATGCTAAAAACTTGTTCATTGATTTAGCCGAGAGTATTGCCGGTAGTCTTAATGTTACCAACTGCTATGTGTGTGGAGGTACTAACATGGGAGACCAATGGCCTTGGGAAGCAAAGGAGGTAATGTCTGGTTCTGAGGCAGTTGACCAATTAATATCTACACAAGCCGACTATCATATGAGTGTTAGAGGTAAATCTGAGTGGAGATTGAAGACCTCCATCATAGGTTATGTTTGCATAGCGAGGAAAGGAATGATGTATAATACTTCTGTAGGAGAATTAACTTGTCTAGGGCAAAAAGCTTATGATGATGATACAAAGAATACAACTTGGTGGTCGGCTTCAAATGTCTCAGAACCATCTAACCCGTTTGCAAGATATGCCAATTTAAAACGTATGGTTTGATCTATCCATCACATCTAACTGGAGAGCCCCAGCGAATTTGTACTGGATCTGTGGTAAGAAGGCCTATTCGGAGTTACCACAGGACTGGGAAGGGGCATGTGTGTTGGGTATGTTAAAACCATCCTTCTTCTTGTTGCCTATTGAAACAGGTGAGACTTTAGGTGTTAAAGTGTATGATGTGAATCATAGGAAGAAAAGGGGACCCATAGAGATAGGTGCCTGGGAAGATAATGAATGGCCTCCCCAGCGTATTATAGATTATTATGGGCCAGCCACGTGGGCAGAGGATGGTACCTTTGGTTATAGAACCCCTATTTATATGCTCAACCGCATTATAAGGTTACAGGCGGTGGTTGAGATCATTACTAACGAGACATCACAAGCGCTCAATCTTCTAGCGAAGCATAATACCAGGATGAGGACAGCAGTTTACCAAAAATAGATTAGCCTTGGATTATCTTTTGGCAGTAGAGGGAGGTGTATGTGGGAAGTTTAACCTGAGCAATTGCTGTCTTCAAATAGATGACGAAGGGCAAGCAATAGCTGAGCTTACTAACCATATGGTTAAACTAGCGCATGTGCCTACTCAGGTATGGAAAGGGTACAATCCAAGTAGTTGGTTTGGTAGCTGGTATGAGTGGTTTGGAGGGCTTAAGGCAGTGGTAGGTGGAGTCCTACTGATTTTAATGTTGTGTCTACTCCTGCCGTGTCTTATACCCTTAGTAGTTAGGTCTGTGCAAAGCCTGATAGAAAATATAGCAGAGAGGAAGGCTGCTGCACAGATAATGGCAATTTATAAATATAAGGCTCTAGATCAGGGAGAACCAATGCAGGAAGACGAGTGTTGAAGATTCACATCATAGGATAAGTCTGGTCTGGTTCAAAGGTAACTTGTGGTGTATGCAAACCAAGGTTAAGTGATGCCTCAAGTAATTGTAAAATATCAAGAGGCATCAAAGGGGGGAATGTGGTGGAATCTCGGTAAAAATAAATTTAGTAGGCCGAGATTACCACGTGGCATGTGTACGTGCATATGCTGACGTATCGATCAGTTGGTTGCACGAGGCAAGATACGATCAGTAGTGTACGGAGCATGTGCAAGAATACAGGATGTAGTATTCCCCTCCTCCATTGTGCTGGACAAGCCATGTGGTCAAGCAGGAAGTTAATTCTTATTTGTAATGATTGGTCAAGAGAATGTGCGGGTGGAGCTTAATATGGGAGGAGTTATGTGCCTATATAGGGAGCCTGCACTATTGTTCAGGGCTCAGAACTTGCTGTATTTTTGGTGACATTAGTCCCTCTGAGTCCCGATCGGTGATCCAATAAAGAATCTCTTCCTTCCTGAAGAAACCTGTGTCCATCCCTCTGTGCTTTGCTTCCGTCAGTTTCTCCGGTATCACCAATAACTGGCTATAAAGGAATTCCAGACATGGCTCCACAGCAGGTATAAAATTATTTATTGGTATAGATATATAAAAAACAATTATATAAAAAGGACATTTAATAGCAGTGTGTAAAAATGACATACACTACCGCAAGATTTTAAAGTACTGATAAAACAAATAGATTGCATTTGCTGGATCCACGTCTGGAATTCCTTCATAGCCAGTTAATGGCACCACAACGCTGTTTATATAGAGCCTGGCATGGCTCTACGCTTGTGAGTGTACATTTTATATTTCCCTGTTTTATATCATTACTGTACAGGCTTCACTATGTATTGCCAAAAAATTTTCATAGATCCTATGAGAGGAAGCTGTTTCTAACTACAAGATACGATTGTTGGGAAGTATTATTATCCTCTGTAAGTGTGTCACCTGGGGAACATGTAACAGTTTACCAGGAGTTGGAGCCCAATTGCAGGAGATGGCACAGGAAGCAGGCTAAATAAAAAACAGTACAGATTAAGGGAGAATCCAAAGGCAGTGTCAGACAAGAAGCAGAAGTCAGGGAGTAACAAAGTCGGTAAATCAGGCAGAGGTCAAAGTCCAGGAAATCGGTCAGTAGCAAACCAAAGATCCGGCAGGAAACACCAAACACGCAAAATGACCAGATACTAGGTTTCAGGCAGGGCTGGCTTTTACAGCCTGCTAATTAGATGCAGCTGACCCCAATTGGGAAAGAGTTGCAGGTGGATCAGTGCTGCTTAATCCAAGCAAAGGGTGAGGAGGCAGAAAAAATGCAAACAGAAACTGAAGCCCCCTGGTGGATGTCATGGCAGAGAACCTGACTGGCACGGCTCTATGCTTGTGAGTGTACATTTTGTATCATTACTGTACAGGCTTCACTATGTATTGCAAAATTTATTTTTCATAGATCCTATCAGAGGAAGCTGTTTCTAGCTACAAGATACGATTGTTGGGAAGTATTATAATCCTCTATAAGTGTCACATTGGGTGGTGTAAACGAGTGGTAGTATTATTATTACCGGCATTGTTTCATATGTTCCCAGTTCATCTACTTTGGCCTTGAATTTAAAATTTATGTTGAATTCACAAAAAATTTTTTGCTTTGGTGAATAATCCTGTTCATGTCTTTTCATAAACAAAGATGAACGCGGAACTGTATGATAAACCGAAATAGGAAATTATTGGGAAGTGTGCACGTGGAACAGGGAGGAGCAATAGCAGGTATTCCATTGACATAGTATGCTGTTTTGGTGGATCATTTCAAGGCTGTACATTCAAACTAGGCTTAGATGCAGCTTCCGCATTGGTCATGTGCAGGGCATGTTTTGAAGTGCTCTCCATGGGCAGCCCTGAGTTTATGTTGTACAGTGTGAACATGTATAATGATGCCCATGCATTAGACTTATAGGAGACATTTCTGAAGTAAAGAGGGCCCTGGTGGAAGAATGTTTTTGAACCCCCCTATCACAAGTGTGGCCATAAGGTAGATCCCTATGCTTTGCCTGTTTGGAATCTACTAGTTGCACAGATACACACACTGTCAGGTCCGCTGCTCGCGGCGACCTTGCTTACCTCATCACAGCAAGCGGCGGCATCATCTGGTACCTGTCTCCAGCATGGCAGTGTGTCTGACGCTACACGCTCTAGAGCAGCTTCCTTATATGTGTGCTGCACCCGGTCATGTGACCCGGCACACAGTGATGACCACAAGGGAGGGAAGAAACTCCTCCCACGTGTTGTGGTTAACACTGATTGGAGATTAGCCAATCAGACACACCCTGTGTGTATATAAGTTAACCCCTCCCTTGCCTTAGTGCCCTGTTGTGGTCTTTGGTTTACCATTGAGTGTTGCACTTGTTATTTATTTCCTGGTTACTGATATTTTGCTTTCCTGACATTATTCATGGCAACATTTACTCATGGGTTAGCTCCTCCCCTCACAGCAGAAAGGACAGGAAACAGAACTCTGAAACTGGTATAAATAGATCCTCCCCCTTCCCATCAGGCAGTCTTGTTTCCTGTCCTTCACAGCAGTTTGGAAGGAGTCTGCTTATGAAGGCCTAGATTTTTTCTTTTATGCTCACCAGGCAATATTTTTGTAGCCTTGCCGGGGTTCAGCCTCTAAGCCCTGAAGACCCAGCAAAGCACTATTGTAAGGTAGCCAGCCTGGGTAACCCCTTTAGTGACCGGGGGTCGGACCCAACCTCTCCCTCTGGGGATGAAAATGGTCCACTGCATGCCAGGGTTCAGCCTCTTATCCCTGAAGACCCAGCAACAGGCCAGCTCGGGTACCCCCTCAGGGGATGAATGTGATATACTGCCTACATGAAGCCAGGCCAGGGGTCAGCCTCTTACCCCTGAAGACCCAGCAAACAGCACATCTGTAAGAGTCGCCAGCCTGGGTACATACTTCAACAACCAGGAGTCTAACCTATCTCTCTCTCAGAAGTAATAACAGCGGTCCACTGCATACATGAGGCCCAGCCGAGTCTAAGCCTTTATCCCTGAAGACCCAGCAAACAGCACTTCCATAAGGTGACTACCTGGGTATACCTATTCTATGTATTCCACTTGAGTTTGGTTTACACCTTCTCCCACTGGTGATGATTAACAGCATATGGGGTACAGATGGAAGCCTATAGTTTAAACAGTTTAGGCTGTCAGTTGTTCAAATCCCCATTTGTTGGCTGAAACAGTCCTGCAACTGTTCAGGTAAGTGCATTAGTAATTTAGATTAAAACTAGTATAGCCACCTGGGTCTCTGTTCTTTCAGTCCCTCCCAGCTGCTTACATTAGGCTTCCTTCTAACAAATAGGTCACATGTAGGAGGTTTGTGTGGTTAGCATTTAGGTAAGTTTATACATGCTTGTTGCAAAAGAGTGCCGATAATGCAAGGAAGCATTGTGCAAAAGAGTGCTAATAGTGGAAATCCTGGCTGTATAAAGTCTGCTGGAATTCCACAGTCCTGAAGACCGAGTAATATCCAAGGTAAGAAAACTTTCCTGGATGTCTGATTGAAGTACACTCATGTATATGACAGGTTATAAAACCTAAAAATAAGTCCACACACTTGTTTTTATCAAAGCATGTGGCATTGATTGCTGTTATCTGTGAATTATCACAAATAAGCAGGCTTTTCCAGAGAGTGGTAGAATTTCTGCATATGAGATTTCTGGGCCTCAGTATCTGTACATGAACTGGTTGTGGTACAGCTTCGGTATGTTTCCAATCTATGCTCTAATGTATGAATTGGTACGCTTGATGTATTAGTGGATATGCTCTATGTATGAGTTTCTGTGAGGACACCGCCTCAGTATATGTATCCACTATATGCTCTATGTATGAGTTACAATGAGGACACTGCCTCAGTGTGTGTGTGTGTGTGTGTGTGTGTGTATAATCCCTCTCCCTCTCCTATGTATGAGTTACTATGAGGACACAGCCTCGGTATATGTATCCATTTTATGCTCAAGGTATGAGTTACTGTGAGGACACTGCCTCAGGGGGTCTCGCTCTCGCTCTCTCGCTCTCTGTATGAGGACACAGCCTCAGTATATGTATCCACTATATGCTCTATGTATGAGTTGATCTGAAGATTCTGGCTCAGTATGTGTGTTCTTTATATGCCGCCTCAGTACAGGGAGTGCAGAATTATTAGGCAAGTTGTATTTTTGAGGATTAATTTTATTATTGAACAACAACCATGTTCTCAATGAACCCAAAAAACTCATTAATATCAAAGCTGAATATTTTTGTAAGTAGTTTTTAGTTTGTTTTTAGTTTTAGCTATGTTAGGGGGATATCTGTGTGCAGGTGACTATTACTGTGCATAATTATTAGGCAACTTAACAAAAAACAAATATATACCCATTTCAATTATTTATTATTACCAGTGAAACCAATATAACATCTCAATATTCACAAATATACATTTCTGACATTCA